CCAAGTGAGCGAGGTGGGGCCTCGCTTTGCAAAGCTCTAGAAACAGCAGCTCTTTGTCTCCTCCATGTCTCCTCACCCTGAACGTGTTGCTGTTTTCAGAGGTTGGTTTCAAAGTGCTGATTCACAGCCACCAGCCCTATTGTTTTATCTGAGGAGATTAGGGCTGAGAATGTTGCAGTTTTGTAGTGAAAAGACTCCATTGGAAATAGCAGCATAGCTGACATGAGACTGTTATTTATGCTCAAATAACCATCTCCTTTAAAGATGAGGAGTCTCTTTTTTATTGCTTTTCAAGTTTAGATCAATCATGTATGAAGACAAACTCCCACTCAGCTTCCCTTGGCCCCTAATATTTTCATTTTGTTCTTCTTCTGCTCATTATTTTATGATTTTGTCCTTGACTGGAACATTTCTCTCTTGTTCTTCCTTACATGCACCATTGAAGAGGGAAAGGACTTACATATAGAGCTCGAGACTTGTGTAGCTCTTCAGCCATAAATAACATTTTATACAGATTCTAAGATGATGAAATCCTTCTAGTTAGCCTCCCTCTTTCTTTTACGGCTCATCTGGTTAGAGGAGACATATTCTTTTGAAACTTAACTATTTCTGTTTCACTTTTGCAAGCAGACATGAGAAGACAGGACCTGGCTGTATGCACTGCTGATCAGAACACTTGCCATAGGAATGCAGAAAAGCTTGCCTGCAAGAGGACTGATTGTTGGCGTGGAAGAAAAGCCCTAAAATTCTGAGATGCAGCCGAGTTCCTGAATACAGGCAAGTCTACAATCGAAACTGAGATCTGTTTATCTGGGGAGATAAATGCTCTCAAGATACGCTTTTCTGGAGAGGGCTGACAGGCACAAAATCAGTGAAAGGAATGCTCTGGTATGAGGACAGAGTTCTGCTCAGGCAGTAACTGATGTTGGACAGCTGTAGGAACTGGCCCACTGGGCTCTGTGCTTTGCACCCCATAACTCCATACCCAGCTTCTTTTGATACCAGGCTCGGGCTTCCTGGAGCCAGGCATCAGCTTTTCCCTACAAATGCAGCCAAAGCAGAGATCCTGAGACTGTAGTGCTGAGCTGCTCTTCCTTCTGCTTGCTGGGATCTGCTCAGCTCAGGCAGTTCCTCGGGGGAACAGCCAGTGAGTCAGGCCTTGTTGGGGTTACACACTGTGGAGCTGAGCACAGAGAGGAGAAATAGCCCCACCAAAGTGACTGAGAAGTGCTGAAAAGCCTCACAGTAGACAGCCTACACAATGAAATGATCTCCTCCAATTAGCCCATGGTCATCAGTGAGGCAAATCCTCTGCCTCCTGGGCCGGGCAGGGTGGTTTTTAATGGTAGGCATAAATCTATTGGGTTTTTGTCCTCATGACCCAGCATATTCTGCCAGGGCAATGCAGACTCCAGAGAAGGAAGAGAATTTATGTGTACAATAAAACAACAGAGTTTCAGTGATATCAGCTGTTTGACGAACTTTAATATACATTTGCTATAAAACAGGCAGCAATTACCAGAATGTGATACCCAAATAAAAATCCATGATCCATTTGCACGACAGATCTTCGATTTACTCACATTCATGTGAAAGAGACACATAAAAATGATATCCATGCTTAAAATCACTTAGGAGCAGCCTGAAAGACCCCACAGTTGCAAGTGATACTGCAGTGCTTAGCTAATACTCATGTTTCGATGGCTTTGCCTTCATGATTCTTCCAGTGGTTCCTTTATGTTTTCTGGGATTTTGCCAAACACCTGTGAATCAGTGCACAACAAATATTCCTCCCATTTAATTTAGCCTTGCACAGAAAGGCTATATTAGGCCTGATGCAGACCTAATCCCAAGCCTCTAAAGAGGTTTAAGGCACTCTGGTTTCACCTAATCCCGAAACCTAAACCAGAATCATTGAAAACCTCCACAGCACCACAGGAATGGGCAAATAAAGAGTTTCCACTATGAAATTATTAAAAGGACACAGTGTATCTTTTGGATTTGAGACCTAAAGCTTTGCCTAAGGAGCTTGGACTGTCCACAATAAAAGTGTTTATTTTGAAGGTAGGAGGTTGAAAGGTTTATTTGACTAGAGGGCCGATTTCACCCCTCCCACCCAAAAAAAGAAAAGGGGTGACCCCCCAGAAGAGTGGCAAATGGGAAAGGGGAGGAAGAAGTGACAAGGCAGGGGCAGCCCAGCAAAGCAGTGAAGAAAGTGAAGCCCAGGTTTCAGTTTAAGCCTCAGTCCTGGTCCCTGTGAGAAAGAGCAAGAGCACAGCCCCTGGTGCACAGCTGGGCTCTTGGGTCCTGAAGTTCCTCACTGCAAACATGTAAGGAAAGAGTTATTTATGATGTAAGAAATACATTGCTGCTGTTCAAAATGGAGAATTTGCTCTTTTGAGATCTCTTACTGATGGGAGATAACATGTAAAAACGTGCTGCAATGGAACTTTCAAATACAAATTGCATCCAACTGTAATAAATTCGATCTTGCATTAATTCATGTTAAATTAATTGGATTCTGTCATTCCTGAATTCTGAATTCTGGTAACCACCTTATCTTGCCACACAACTCATTATCTTTGTGTTGGGAAAGGGGTATTTCATTTTCCAGGCGACTGTAGGGAATATTAACTGTACCATACTCTAATAAACATGCAGCTCCTAACAAATTAAAGACCTGAAGCACACTGCACATGTGGTTTCATTATGCACAGCAATTTATAGCAATGATCTCCTGCTCTCAATCTCTTAATTCAAATCATTTCAGCAAAACATGTAGGGAAACATGGGGCTGTATTTGTGCATTATACAATCCTGAAGGTATTTATCCGTCCTTAGGACATTCCTAATAATGAGAGGCATAACCTCCTCAGTGTGCTGAATGCCATGTAAAGCCCTTTGGAGCAGGGATTTAGGAATCCGTGTTCCTGCTGATGGGAAGTTTGATATGAGTAGAAAAGCAAGCTCCAGACTGACTTCCCAGACTCACAGAAAGTCTCCATGCCTTTGTCTGCACTGTGGTACTCTAGGTTTAATTCAGCTTTCAACGACTCTTTGCCTCCATAGACAAAAATTATAGGAAAACTGAAAAGCATTAATTTTTCAGAGGTACCAAGCCTTCTAGCTGGAATTGTAGCAGGACAGCCTTCTGAGAAAATACTGAAACGACAAGAGCTTTTAACTCCTAGACAGGTGACACAAGCAAAGGATAGTTTATTTGCTTTCCTCGAGCAAGTCGTGGTGTAGCTGAGGAGCAACAGGGGCCTCTTAAGGGGAAGGAGTGTGTGTTGTGTACGTGCCTACACTGCCTTCCCATCACCTGGCTCAGGGTGGATGGTGGGACATCAGCAGGGTCAGTCCCAATCCCACATCTCCGCATTTTTGTCCCAACAATACGTACGGGGTTATTTAACTGGTGCCTGACTTAGTTCAATTATTTCACCTACCCAGTAACTTCCATTGGGAACCATTTCAGGAGGCAACTTCTTTATTTGCCTAAAGATGCTCTCCTGCAGGGCAGCACCTGGAAGACTTTGTGTGGCTGTGTGGCACTGGAATACTTGGGTCTTTATCGCAGAATAAACCCAGGCTGGCAGCGGAGGAGGCCAGTGAATTCAGCCGTGCGGTAACCCCGCGCTCAGCAGAGCTCCTGGCAGTGGATGCGGTGCAGGGTGGGAGAGAGCCCCAAGCACAGCCCAGGGTGGGTGAGAGCCCAAAGCACCCCCAGCAGCTGCGGGGAGTCCCCCGCGTCACAGCCGGACCGAACCGCTCCATGGCACCGGCCCAGCCGGCTCAGAGCTTGTCCTCCGCGTGTCCCGGAGCGGGGACGTGCTCCGTGAAGGCGGGGCCCTCCCGATTACCGAGCGAGGCCCCTCGCAGGACCCCGCGGCTGCGCTGCCTCTTCGTGCCGCCGCCGGCACGCCAGACCCCTGGCCGGGATCCCCCGAGCGGCCCCGGGAGCCCCTGGCCGGGATCCCCCGAGCGGCCCCGGGAGCCCCTGGCCGGGATCCCCCGAGCGGCCCCGGGAGCCCCTGGCCGGGATCCCCCGAGGGGGATCCGCACACGGCCCCGCTCCGGCCGGCCCCACACGGCGCATGCGCGCCTCCCGCCGGCCCGTGACGTCACGCGCGGGGCTCGGCGTCCGCCTGGTTCCCGCGGGGATCGCCGAATCATCGCTGCACCGCTCCCGCCCCGCCGGCGCTCGGTGAGCGGGTGTGAGGGGGGAGGTGGGGTGCGGGGGGACGGACCAGGCCGCGCCGCCACCGCCGCGGGGAACCCCCCGCTCGGCCGCGGGGCCGGGACGGCTGCGCTGTCACTGCCGCGGCGCAGCCTCACAGGCCGGAGGGGGCGGTGGCGCTGTGCGCACGCGCGGGGCGTCGCCACGGCAACGGGGGCAGCGTCACACCCCACACCCCACGCGCGGCGCCTCAGAGCCCGCACGGCCCCTCAGCCCCTCATGGCCCTGCAGAGCCCTCATGGCCCCTCATAGCCCCTCATGGCCCTGAAGAGCCCTCAGAGCCCCTCAGAGCCCCTCATGGCCCCTCATGGCCCTGCATAGCCCTCAGAGCCCCTCAGAGCCCCTCATGGCCCCTCATAACCCCTCATGGCCCTCATGGCCCTTTGTAGCCCTCAGAGCCCCTCATGGCCCCTCATGGCCCTGCAGAGCCCTCAGAGCCTCTCATGACTCCTCATGGCCCCTCAGAGCCCCTCATGGCCCCTCATAGCCCTTCATGGTCCTGCAGAGCCCTCAGAGCCCCTCATGGCCCCTCAGAGCCCCTCATGGTCCTGCAGAGCCCTCAGAGCCCTTCATGGCCCCACAGAGCCCCTCATGGTCCTGCAGAGCCCTCAGAGCCCTTCATGGCCCCACAGAGCCCCTCATGGTCCTGCAGAGCCCTCAGAGGCCTTCATGGCCCCACAGAGCCCCTCATGGTCCTGCAGAGCCCTCAGAGCCCTCATGGCCCCTCAGAGCCCCTCATGGCCCCTCATAACCCCTCATGGCCCTCATGGCCCTTTGTAGCCCTCAGAGCCCCTCATGGCCCCTCATGGCCCTGCAGAGCCCTCAGAGCCTCTCATGACTCCTCATGGCCCCTCAGAGCCCCTCATGGCCCCTCATAGCCCTTCATGGTCCTGCAGAGCCCTCAGAGCCCCTCATGGCCCCTCAGAGCCCCTCATGGTCCTGCAGAGCCCTCAGAGCCCTTCATGGCCCCACAGAGCCCCTCATGGTCCTGCAGAGCCCTCAGAGCCCTTCATGGCCCCACAGAGCCCCTCATGGTCCTGCAGAGCCCTCAGAGGCCTTCATGGCCCCACAGAGCCCCTCATGGTCCTGCAGAGCCCTCAGAGCCCTCATGGCCCCTCAGAGCCCCTCATGGCCCCTCAGAGCCCTCCTGGCCCCCCGCGCGGGCTGTGCCCAGGTGTACCCAGGTGTGCCCAGGTGTGCCCAGGTGTGCCCAGGCGGGGGCGGCTCGCGCGCTGTCGCCCCCTGGCGGCGCAGGCAGGGCCGGCAGAGGCAGGGCCGGCAGAGGCCGGGCCCGCACCGCGCTGCCGTGCTTGTCTTCCCCGGTTTGTGTGGAAGTGAGGACATGCCTCGTACAGCTCCTTTAAATGCCGCTTCAGAGTAGGAAATAATCCAGTTTCAGATTCAGCAGCTTCGTTTTGAAACGAACAAGGTAAAAAGCAGGCATGGGGTGTGCTCTGGAAAAAACAGGCAACACAAGGTGGAAATCTGTGTGTGACTTCTCTGGGAATTGTTTTGAGGAACATTTCGCCACACTTTTTAGCACAGTCTCTTTGTGACCCGTCATTCTTCCGAAGCTCCTTCCATTAACCCCCAGTTTTAGTAGCGTTTCTGTGAGGCTTTTAGAGAGGGCTCCATGACTGGGAAGCATTTCATTAATAATTTGTCTTGTCTCCATAAATGACAGGGAGTACAAAGATTTTTTAAAATTTTATTTTTAACTAAATTACCTAATTTAAAAAAACCGTACCAGAGTAACTTCTTGTTTTTTAATGATTTCTATTAACATTTTTATTGGTTTTACAGGTAAACTAGTTTTTTCTTGTTTCAAAAATATCCTGCAATCAGGAAATCTAACTCTGTTTGTTCTGGCTTGGGTATGTCATTATCAGTTATAAAGATTGTGCAGATGGAAATTATGTTGGTGCACGCACTGGAAGAGATGCCAGGTTCTAATGTCAGATAGATTGTCTGATTTTGGTTAATTGGTGTGGAGACTTATTTTTAAGCATTAGAATGACAGTGTTGGAATTGTAAGGTGTTGGGGAGCAGACCTGTTGCCTAACTATGTTATGCCTTTTCTGACCCTGTTGACCATTTTGCAATACTGTGGGTTTCTTTTTGCAAAGAAATGCTGAACTACTGACCCATCTATGTTCTTACATTGTAAAGAAACACCTTTTTTTGGCCCTGTGTCACGTAGTACATGGGGCTGTATTGTGCTTTGTGTTTGTATACATTTTATTTTTGAGTTCTATTTCTCTGCAATAACAATGTCCTGTTTCACTGGATCAGTAATAACTGTCAACCAGTCAATGCTAATTAGCTCATGCAGGAGACTTAACACTGAAGATTCTGACTTTTCAAAATTATATTCTACGAAACACTGTCTTCATTGGGGAAAATAGCTACTATTATTACTCCTCTGTAATAAATTGCTTTGTTGCAGCTGTGTTGGACTATGGATGTATGGTAGTGAGATTTCTGAGGCTGTGAAGACAAACTTAGTAAATGATTTTTAAAAAAAGGTTGATCTTGTCTTTTTGGACTCCTCCTTTGAGTTGTAATGCCGATACTTTACTCTTGTCCACACTCAGAATCTCAACACAGTATAACATGTTCGTGTCTTTACAAAGGACAGAGGCAAGTTTTGTGGCAGTAACAGTGTTTTGGTCCCCAAAATATCTGTGTGGATGGATTTATACTCTCTTGGTAGGAATGCACTTTGACTGCCCTAGAATTTACTTGGTAGTACAAATGAGGGGTTTCAAATTAGGAATGGTCTCTGTGGAGCAGTGCAAGCGATCACAAAACGATGAGAAAGAAACAAATCTACAAAAGAACCTGCACAATTTTTGCCCAAGCAAGCCAGTTTCCTTTTGAGCTCTGTGCTGGCACAGTTTATGAGTAAAAGTGCATTTCTTTTTTCTGTTCATAAGCAATAAAAATAATTTCACAACTGTAATGAACACACTTCCTGTGGTACATTTTAATTATGCAGCTAATGATGGCGTAGCTCGTCATTGCAGAAATTGTCTCAGTGGCATTTATGGCTCGGTGTAAACGCTCATATATCACAGGCTGGTTTGAAAGAACCGAAGCTTTGAGAGATGTCAGGTTTGCAGGGAAGTGACTCATCAACAATAGGTGTGAGGTAGCAAGGGTAGATTGTGGAGCATGTTCAGGCTACAGATATTGGAGTCAACAGATTGGCTTAAAGAAGAGGTGTTACTGGTGTCATTTACAAAACCATATCTTAGCCTTGAAAGTTTCCAGACCACTCAACTGGGGAATCCAGGCTGTGTCATGATTCAGAAGTGTTTAATGAATCAGTGTCTTCTGCACCTCAAAAGTGAAAGTTATAGGGGAAATCACCTTTTTTATAAATGGATTTACCAGCACAGGTCTTTAGAACTGTAATATCATACTGTGAGCAAATTAGAGTCATAGGAGCTAAAAATCTTCTAGTCAGCAAATTTTCTCTTTCATGATTTATTTTAAAGGTCAGAAGGTGACTGTTACAGTCAAAAAATAGTTATTTGTACAGGAAAACCTTCCCAGATGAGGTGTAGCCCTGTCCTAAACCTCTGAATCTGCAGCCTAGGTTTCCCGGAGCTGCTGGGTGTAAGGTAAAGCTGAGCAAGAACTATTTGAAAAGAAACATAGACTTATGTTTAGCTTTTCTTTTTGTTTTAGTTATTCTATAGTTTTTTCAGTAGATGCTAAATTTATTTGATTTAGGGGAGAGAAGGATTTTGCTTTAAAACATACCAGATAGGAATCTTAGAACAGACTTTTTGCACTCAAACAGCTGGAGCAGCTGTAGATTCCCCACTGAAATGAAAATGCAACAATTCAAGATTTAGAAAGGCAAAAAGTGTGACCAGAGCATTAAATAGAAGGGCCATATGATACCAAAATTAAGCTCTGTGTTTATTATAAAGAAAATCCTTGTTGTAGAAGGGAAAAAAATGAACTTGTTCCACCACCTTCTTTTTTCCTCAGGAGAAAACACAGAATATATCCTAGGTAATAAATCTGTTTTATGGCTCACATGAGAAAGGGTGGAGAAACTCCCATTATTTTCTTCCCAGAAATTGAAACACACATGAGCTAACATGGGAGACACTGGGGTTTTCATCCAACCAACGCACAGCTGGCTTCTGCTTTTATTATTTTCCTAAGCCTAATAATTTTTCATTTGATTAGCTGGTGGCTGACAAAACTATCACTTGCACAGTGTTTTGTATATTTAGTAGAGTAGGTGTGATGCGAAAAAGATATTGTAATGCTTACCCAGAAGCATAGCACAACCTGTTCAGTTGATGGGAAATTTCTGCTTGCAGGTTTCTGTCATCAGGGTTTGAGTTTGTATATCAAGAAAAGAAATTCTTGACAGCTAGAAACAGGAGAATTGTTTCTTAACTCACACTGCGGACTTGCATGATGATCTGCACACGAATAAACTGTCAGGTATCCGTTGGCAGTCCACGGTGCCAGTTTTGCCATGAGAAAGTGGTGAGACTATTTGAGAGAAAAAAAGTCCTAGTCAGTGTTAGGAGGTGGGAGAAGTAGAGCTGCAAACAAGATGCATCAAGTATTTTGACTCACACAGCGTGAGTTGTGGAGAGACCCACGGACACACATAATGTGAAAAAATCAACAGCCACCCACAAACCCACCCAGACAATAAGACAGAGTGATAAAGGGGGCACATCCATAAATGTGGGAGGATTGGAGCTGTCTAGGAATGAGGTTACTCAGAGCCATGTCTGTGCAGCCCCCTGTAAAGCCATGGCTTCTCAGTTTGAAATCAGGAGGGAGAGTGGCCCCTCACAGAACTCCTCTGTGTGCCTTCTGCAGAATAAAGAAAACATATTCCAGAACCCAGTATCCTGTTTTGCACTGAGCATTAGTACCAGGGACAAAGCAGGGTGATTTCTGTTGTGTTGACTGCTGGTGTTTGAAGTGCTAAGCTGTGTTGCTGTCTTTGTGTTCTGGCAAAGCAATGCTAACACCTTCCCTAAGTAAGCAGCAGGGGAAGAAGAATGTAGTTTTATCCCAGATCGGTGGATCTGTATCATCCAAGTGTTTAGTATGTTATTACTGTTATTTTCAAAAATTCCAAAACAACTTGACGTGTTTTGGGGCAGGAGAGAATGTGGGCTATCTACTTCCTCTCAAATATTGTGTTATGACTTTAATTTGTAGTCATTTATAAATGGTAGATATTCAAAACCATGTAAGAAATTTCTAAGTGAAATTACTTTGAAGCTACAGGTTCATTGCATAGCCAAACCTCTACTTTTTATGTCCTTTCATCCAGTGGCTGGCTGGGGAAGGAATGATTTTGTAAGGACTAGTTAAATCTCTGTCCTATTTATCTATGTCCTGACCTCGCTCCATTACACTCACTAAATAATTGTTGGCAAGTTCAAGCTCTGTAACTAGGAGGTTATGACTTTGCTAAATGCCATGAGCCAATGTATTTTCATGGATAAGGAAAATTACTTTAATGGAAAAACATGAGACTACTGGAGTGGCAGTAGATCATCATGGGAACTCTCTTTTGGTCGTATCTCTCTCAGAGGCTTTATGCTGCTGGGGATCAGAATACCTGGGGTGTGGGGCTGTTCCCTGGGACATGGAAGTGTGTGATGCTGTGTCAGAGATGGCTGGTCCCCACTGGGTCTTGCCCAGTGTGAAGTCCCAGGTAACAGTCTCTCCAAAGGAGGTGTGACCAGTGCAGCCGCCTTCACTGTCTGCCTCCTCTGTCCTCAGTCTGCCGTGGCAGAATGTGCATCTCTGGCCTGCCGTTATTTAGCTGTTTGCTCTGATAGATTTTCTCTTCTGTGATGGGTCTGCTTGACCTTCCGAAGCTGTACTTTGAATTCTTGCCCCTGTGTTAGACCCTTTGATTGTTCTGTTCTCTGACGTTTGAGATGATGCCACCTTGGTTCTGAGCTGGGTGAACACGTCCCTGGGGCCTGTTCCGGACACACAGCTGGGGCTGCTGCTGCGCAGGAAAGGCCCTTGGAGCAGGAGTGGCTTCCCTGGGGGCACACCCCTGTCCTGCAGCACAGCAGTGGGGCTTGGTTTTGGCACTCTGACCCCGGGTGCCAGGGGTTCCTCACCCAACTTGCAGGAGGTTTCAGGGAGGGAGAGAGCTCCTAGTGCTGTGCCCCAGGAAGGGGTGATGCTCAGTGTGAGCTGCAGCAGGGGCTCCAGCCTGGCACTGTGTGTGAGATTTGCCAGGTCTGCCGTGGGTAACACTGACCTTATGGAACCAGGCTCTCAAATCTGAGAGGGACTGGGAACGTGTGAAACAGGCAGGACTTTTTACATCTTTTTTTCTAGTTGTGTGTTTAGGCCTCCATCATTTCCCTTCGACAATTGAGGGTGTTGGTTGCTTCCTCCTGTGTTTGTGTAAGA